CGATGCTCAGCTGCGGAGTCCATCCTTGTCCCTCAAAGTGCCACCAACTGTCAGACCATTCCAAGATGACATGCTATAAGATCGTCGATTCGACGTGCCCCCGTGGCCACCGGACCGCTCAGTCCTGTTTCCAGAGCGGTAGGATATGTCGCCACTGTGTTGCTGAGGACGAAGCCAAGGAGAAACGGCGCCAGAGAGACATGAAGCTAGAAGCTGAACGCGAGAGAAAGCAAAAGCAATACGCGCGCGAGCTCGCAGAACTACAAGAGGAAATTGAGCGCGAGCGACGTCTTCAAAGGGACGACTATGAGTCACGGCAACGCCAGAAGATTATTGACCAACACCGAGCGGAACTTGCAAAGTTGAAGTCAAGGGACAAGGGCCCGCCAGATGACATTAGTGTCGATACTAACGGCGACGGACACTACACAGGGGTCAATGGCTCTGCAGGTCCCAAGCACCATCACGAGCAGAGTGGCAAGCCCGGCGACAAAGCAAATGGAAATAGGACGTCGCAGCCGGCAAAATCCGGTGCCCAAGCGGATTGGGACTTTCAAAAGCAGTTTGAAGGAGCACAAAGCGCCGAAATCGATACATTGATGGGTATGATCGGTCTTGAGGACGTCAAGGAAAAGTTCCTTTCCATCAAGGCCCAAGTGGATACCGCAATCCGTCAAAATGTGGATTTAAACAATGAGCGGTTTGGGACCGTGCTGGTTGGGAACCCTGGGACTGGTACGTCTATCTCGAGTCATTGAATGGTTCTATGCTCACCAAGCCAGGTAAAACCACTGTTGCTCGCATATACGCCAGCTTCCTCGCTTCTGTCGGAGTCCTCCCTGGAAGTATCTTCGAGGAAACCACCGGATCGCGCCTGGCAAACGATGGGGTCTCGGGATGCGAGAAAACAATCAACAAGATTCTCAACAGCGGCGGCGGCGTGCTCTTCATTGACGAGGCATACCAGTTGACTGAGGGGCAGTCGCCTGGCACCAAAGTTATTGATTATCTCCTGGCTGAGGTGGAAAACCTGACCGGCAAAATAGTCATCGTACTGGCAGGATACCGAAGTCGGATGGAAAAGTTTCTTGGCCACAATCCGGGGTTACCAAGTCGGTTTCCGCATGAGCTCCGGTTTGAGGACTATAGTGACGATGAGCTGCGTCAGATCTTCAAGTACCGAGTGAACAAGAAGTATAATGGACAAATGAAGGTCACTGATGGGATGGACGGTCTGTACAGCCGCATTGTTGCTCGACGCGTTGGTCGCGGGCGTGGTAAAGAAGGATTTTCGAATGCACGAGCAGTCGAGAATGCCGTCGCACGTATCGCTGAGCGTCAAGCTATCCGACTCGCCCGGGAGAGAAGGAGCCAACGTAGCGTGGATGACATGCTGTTTACCAAGGAAGACCTCATCGGGCCGCAGCCATTAAAAGCCCTCGAGAACTGCTCTGCATGGAGGAAGATGCGTGAAATGATCGGACTGCAGTCAGTGAAGGATACCGTGCGAGCTCTCCTGGACAGTTTTGAATACAACTACCATCGCGAACTCGAGGAGAAACCTCTGGTGGATTTCACCCTGAATCGTGTGTTCCTTGGGTCGCCCGGAACGGGCAAAACTTCGGTCGCGAAGCTCTATGGCCAGATACTGGTGGATTTAGGGATGTTATCGAATGGAGAAGGTGAGTTGTTCGCGACTAAATTCTTTCGGAGCCTTCTAATTTTTATATCGCAGTTGTCGTCAAAACCCCCGCCGACTTTGTTGGCTCCGTCCTGGGCGAGTCTGAGAAGAATACCAAGGGAGTCCTGGCGTCTACCGTCGGCAAAGTACTTGTAATTGATGAGGCCTATGGGCTTGCTGGTGGTGGTAGTAGTCGCAACGGCACAGGATCATGGACGGATATTTACAGAACGGCCGTGGTGGACACCATCGTGGCCGAGGTGCAAAGCACACCGGGTGATGACCGATGCGTGCTACTTCTGGGATACCAGGACCAGATGACGGAAATGTTCCAGAACGTGAACCCCGGCCTTTCACGGAGATTTCCTATGGACTCTGCCTTCACGTTCGAAGATTTCACCGATGACGAGCTTGGCCAGATCATAGATCTCAAGTTAAAACAGCAGGCATTTCAAACGACAACACAGGGTAAGAAGGTGGCATTGGAAGTCCTTGCGCGAGCTCGTAATCGGCCAAACTTTGGGAATGCCGGGGAGATTGATATCTTGCTGAACGGTGCAAAGGTTCGGCATCAGCAACGATTGTCAGCGGAGAAGGGATCGGGGAAGGTACCGACAAGCACCTCAATCTTCGAGCCGCAGGATTTCGACAAGGAGTATGATCGAGGTGAGCGTGCGGAAACGAATATCCCTATGCTTTTTGCCGGAAATGTCGGCTGCGAGAATATTGTGGAACAACTAGAAGAATATCGTCAAACTGTGCGAAATATGCGCATGCTTGATATAGATCCTCGCGACCAGATTCCTTTCAATTTCCTGTTTCGAGGTCCCCCGGGTAAGCGACCATGCCGAGATGCCAGTGGCATGTGGAATATACTGACAGCTTTCAACAGGAACCGGGAAAACGACCACCGCAAGAAAGATGGGCAAGGTCTACTATGACATGGGATTCTTGTCTTCTGCAGATGTGATTGAAAGTTCCGCAACTGATCTTATCGGCCAGTACATCGGTCAAACGAGCCCAAAGACCCAAGCCCTCTTGGAAAAAGCGCTGGGCAAGGTACTACTTGTCGACGAGGCGTATCGGCTTGGAGAAGGTCAATTCGCGAAAGAGGCAATAGACGAAGTCGTTGACTGCATCACGAAGCCCAAGTTCAAGCAGAAACTGATCATTATCCTCGCTGGCTATGATGGTGATATTAACCGACTCATGGCGATAAATCCTGGGTTAACGAGCCGCTTTCCGGAATCGATCCCATTCAATAGCCTCGATCCGGACGCCTGCGTGAAGCTATTGACGAGTCTGCTCGGCTCTCGGAAGCAGAAACTGAGCCAGCGCCTCAGAAGTGTTAATATGGACGCATTGGAACATCCGACGCTCTCATTCCTTGAGGACCTGAAGAGGCGTTTCTCAACACTAGCTCAAATTCCCAATTGGGCCAATGCGCGCGATGTAGAGACTTTGGCACAGGCCATATTCCGGAAGGCTGTGAAGTCCATTGCTCATGATTGCCTGGTCGTGGATGACGACAGCGTTCTCAATGAGGCGGACCGTATGATTACCGAGCGCATGCACCGGCAAACGATATCGAATGGGCACACCCCTGCTTTGCAGAATGGCATCGCGATGGATACGCAATCCCCTCATGCACACTCTACCAAGACAACATCTAATACCAACCCGCATCAGCAGTCACCTGAGGAAGAGCAAGAGGAGCAGCCCGACTCGTCTCAGCCTCCAGTCGATGTGAAGGAGCCTCGAGATCCCGGCGTGACGGATGATGTGTGGAACCAACTGCAACAGGACAAGGCCGCAGAGGAGGCTCGGGGGAAGCAGTACCAGAAACTCCTTGACGAAGAGAATGCGACAAGTAAAGCAGTTCAGGACGTGCAACGGAAGGAGACGGATGCGGCAAACCAGATGAAACAAGATCAAGACCACGACGATGATGCCATGAAGCGCCATGAACTAGAACGTCTAAAGCACGAGCTGGAGCGCAGAGCCTATGAAGACGAACTTGAATGCCTGAGAAAGCAGCGAGAAGAAGAGCAGAAGCGTCGAAAGCAAGATCAGGAAGCCCAGAAGAAGCTTCGTCATATGGGTGTTTGTCCTGTCGGATTTCAGTGGATCAAGCAGGCATCTGGCTATCGATGCGCAGGAGGGACGCACTATGTGTCTAACGAGCAGCTTGAGATGTAGAAAGAGGTAGTGATGGTGATGTTAGTTGCAGAAAGAGAAGCCCGGATCTCAAATCTCGCTACCATCGAGTTTCAGTTGAGAGTTAGATGTCTAGCAATCGGGGGGGGGGCTTCTTCTGTCATGTTCAAATAATGCATTTTTTCTAAATATGATGATACAAATCTATGCTCAATATATTAATAAACCCAACTTTTCGAATCCCATCTGCGTCCGCAATATGTCCATATTTAGTCTAATGCAGCCGAAAAGGAAATAAAATAAAATAACGAAATCCAAATGGTCATCTCGTAAAGTGAAGCATCCCGAAAGAAAGGAACTTTCGATCATAGAGGCAGCATAATATCATGTTGTCCCTTCCATCCAGTAGGTCGCCTTGTCCGCGATCTCTCCAAAGTCCCTTCTCGCCATTTCCAGGCCACAGCGAGACAGCCAGCCGGGCCAACAAGGAACATTCCAAGTGTGATATAAAATATTGCTTTCTTCCAGTTGATGTTCGTTGCGTGGACTCTTCGCAAATCCCAGACAGTAAACAGCAGCCACAATGTTATAGATAGGTTGATGAAAACGGACTGGGTCACAGTTTTATCTGTGAGGTTTTCATACGGAGGAGTTTGTGTGCTTGAACGTAGCGCAAAATTCACCATAAACAGCAGGTGAGCAGTGTTGGTAGTCACAAAGATCAAGCCCTGATATCGCGAGACATACGGAATATCCGCATCTCCCCATGTCGCCTTTAATCCTTTCGGGACATCCGTCAATCTTTTGAGGATTTCTTTAACGAGGGTAACTATGAAGGGAAAACTAGCGTGGGCGACTAGCAGTGGCTGAAACCGAAGTCCCCCAGGTAAGCCCTTTGGGACGTTCATGGACACATCGGCGAAAGTACGGTAGATAGCAATTGGATACACAAGGACCAGGGCGATTGGTAAGGCTTTGGCGGCTGGAAGCGGAATAGTCCTAGGAGACGGATAATAAAATGCCCTTTTGTGACTGAGCAGGATATAAAGCGCAAAATACGCAGCCACCGCCACGCCCCATCCAGCAAATAATGCAACGAGGATGAATGGCACGACACTAGCATTCTTAGCCAGTGACAGCAATGGGTACTATTAAGAAGAACTCACCTGCAAAGTGGTCCCATCAAGAGTTGGCTGCGGTATGATTCAAGACACCAGAATGCGTTAATTGCTATTACTGAGATAGCGGTGTACATTTGCAAAGGTGACGAAGAATTCCCACTCTGATGCTCTGTATTCCATGGCCGATTTTCCTCTGAACTGGCTTGGCTGACCAACACCCTGTAAACAGCCGGGGCATCCCAGAATGGAACCAATTGAACTAGTCCAATCAGTGTGAATATTGAAGTCCAGATGACAGTCGAGTACACTTCTCGCTTTTGAGGCCAAATGTCAACCTCGTCTTCGTATGGAACTATGCCTCGCTTGGATGCTAATGGCAAGTACTTCAAAGACACTCCGGGCGTGCACGCTTCTGCAAGCATAGATTGGAGGTAGCCCTGGGAAATCCTACTGATGAGATGGAGCATGAGAAACTTCAGAAACACATTGTCTAGAGATTCTAAACGCGCTAGAGTGTGACCGTCATTCATTAGACCTTTGGTCCTAGATCCTCGATTCTGCTCAAAATCGGCGAATGCAGCTTGGATCTGCTCATCGGTGGGAACTTTACCATTGCCGGTCAATTCCTTTAGCTGGTTTGCAAGATATGCCGCGGATTCGAGGGCAGAGGCGCCGCCTTGTCCGCTTAGCGGGTGGACCTTGACAATTTTCAGTTACAGTCTAATCAAAGGGTACAGGGATCGTACCTTGTGCAAGGAATCACCAATAAGGATGGTCCTTCGGTGATAGCATTTACCCATTACACACTCTTCCAATGGGACCAGCACTGCATGTTTCCGGTGTTTATAGAGATCTCTCAACGTTATTCCGGGCTGTAGGACGTCGTCTCCAAATCGGGCAATAGCCTTTTCTTTGTCCTCGTCTGTGTATCGCGGAATATCACGACCTTGGGTCTTTTTGGCGTTCTTGAAAAATGCGGACCAATATATCTTTCCTTGAACGCTTCGCTGATACAGGTAGTTCCGATCTCGGTAGCAAGTTCTGGAGGTGCTCGTGGTGTCTGACTGCTGAAGACCCTCGGAGATACCAAATATGCAACTGTAGGTACTTCTGATTGCTATGAAAATCAGTTCTATCATCCTATTCTTGAGTTCAAAGTAGAGATACATACCTTCCTGATCCTTTTTTACCTGGATGCTTTCAACTCCTTCAACGGCAGCGTTCCACATCTCCTGTCTAATCTGGCTATGGACACCATCCGCTCCCACCACAATACTTCCAGTGAAAACGCGTCCATTTTGTGTCTCGACCCTTGCGCCGTGCTCCAGGTATTCCACTTTCACTGCACCGCAAGATGTGTAAACCCTGGATTTATCGGCCAAGTTCTGGTAGAGAATATCAACAAGCTGTCGTCGCTCCAAGGCCCACATCTTGTATCCAAGTCTGTGCTAACGGGTAAGCAGAGGTGTTGTTTATCATAATCTCCATCGCACTTACAAGGCTTCCAAATTATCTCCAGCATTTGGATCGATGTTCAAAACATTTCCGTCTGGTCCATATAACCCTCCATCGTTGACTGGCGTACCCAGTGCCCTGACTTTTTCGAAACAGCCTAATTGATCGATAATACGAGCGGCTTGGGGTAGCGTTGTGAAGCTTGCCCCGAGTTGGGGCGCAATAATATCATGTTTCTCAATTAAAGTATATTCAATGCCATATTTCTCGAGCATGTTGGCCAGCGCCAAACCGGCAACGCTGCCGCCCACAATCAACACACTGAACGCCATTGTCCATGAAGTTGGTATGTAGAATTAGAATATTGTCATTGTCAAGTGTGGTGAAACTGTGCCGTCGAGCCGATGATATTCCGGTATAGTTTTGAACTTCGTCGCTTTACGGGTCTCACGAACGGTGAGAATCATTCTGAATAAAATTACGCGAGTAATACGCCGGGAGTGACCACCGGACAGCATCGTACGATGGTACATATAAGTGGTGAGTGGTACCCGAGTGTTGTATAACAGTCCTATGCGGTTCACCGAGTACTTCTTGCAGTTAGGGGCTGGCTATTGGTTCACGGCTGTAATCAAGGTAAGGTTAACTACATATCATTTCCCAGGATTATTACTTATTTCGTCGGATTGGCAATGTTTGTTTCACAATCATGTCATCAACCGGATGCTTTTGTTAGTGAGTTCACAATACTCGAGACAGGCCATCCGGTTTTCCCTCCCCATTTTTTCAGCTCAGTGGTAAGCTCCACAAGCATTTCAGGCTGTCGAAGCCAAAGCCCGCCTGTTTCACCAGTAAGCAAAGAGGATGCAAATTAGAGCATGGAGAACGAACAGAAGGATATTGGCCCAAAAGAGTTAACCCATACAGGCGCTGAGTTGCTAGTTATTGCCAACGTGCAGACTTGAATGGCGTGGTATTCCAGCTTGGCTTCGATTGACTTCATCCTCTCGATATGTTGCAATGTGTTCATCGCGTGAGAAACTGGCTCTGCAAGACAAAGGATTGTCATCGCAGTGTGGTAGTACTGTAAGCTAGCGGCTGGGATAGTCAGCTAAGAGAAGAACGTGTTGGTGATGCTACGTACTATGCCACTTTGATGTGTTCCATGCAAATGGGAATCGGCTCTCTCTGCAAAGTCCTGGGGTAATGATGGGCTCGAAAGACGAGGGAAGCGAGACCTTCCAACTATCAAGCTCCTCCTTCAATGGATCCCATTCGTGTTGATCCAGAGGTTCGCCGTCTTTGTGCAGACAACGGTTGATCACTCTGCCTAATATGTACGATATGTAGTTGGCAGAATCATTTTCACCGTCGAGTAGCGGCGGTTGTTGGTCGTTCAATTCTATCATCAAATTACGTTTTTCCATCAGAGCAACGGTAATGTCTTCCCGAAGATAGTTCCAGAAACCAGCTCGCATCAAACCTGGTTCTAAATCATTCGGACCACTCGCTATTAACGAGTATGAGCCTCTGAGGTGATTCTGAGCACTGGCATTTTCTAAATCGGACCGTCAGTTGTTGGACGAGACAAGCGTGGGATACAGACGGGATATAATTTCATATGACCGGAGAATGCAAATTGCAGCAAGTGTTTCCCCAGTCCTGAACTCGTTTATATTCTCTGTAAGAGACCGTAATGTTTGGACACTTTCCAAGTGATACGCATCCGCCACTTCCGATAAGGAATCATTGGAAAGACTGGAGCTCTGACTCGCAGCAGAAAATGCCAGGATGGCGCTCAATAAAAGAGAATTCTGTCTGGCACAAACCGGAACCACGTCTTCAAAATGCCGCTTACTGTCGTTCAAGTCATACCAGCTAGCTAGATTCTCAATGTAATATCGAAAGATCTGTGCGACTCCGGGATCTTGCAGTGCTCGTTCCGGGTCCGTGGTGGATATATATTCTCCGGGATCTCGGAAGTCCGGTTGAGCCTCTACTACAGGTGACCTCGAAGTTTGACCTGGGCATTCACTGTGTCTCCACTGGCACTCCCTCGAGCTCCGTTGGCAGCGTAGGCACACTGGGCGGCATCCATCGCCTAGGTCTGTCAGTCGTCGAACCACCCATTTCATTCTGCGAACGTACATTTGACCTTTCGCTGTCTGCATGGCTGGCTGGATAGTGTCAATACCTGGTTCATCAAACTAAGTGTGATAAGGTTAGTCAAAAATGACTTACCAGCGGTTTTTTAATGGAGGTCGCGGCATATTATTAGGGTTTAAGTGAATAAGAAGTATGTTTCTGCGTTTTTGCGTTCTGCGAGAGTCCCGTGGAGTCTTGCGAGCTTATATTACTAATTTATGACATTGGCCAATGAGAATTGATATAAATCGGAACTATAGGGTGTGAGGAAGTCAAGATATGTGTATTCACTGTATTCACTGAAGCTATAAAAACCCGGTGTCACTCAGTCTCTAGGATGGATCAGTACCTGTCCGATAAACGAAATGCAGCGACTCGCACGATCCGGGCTCTTCAAGCCCCGGCGATTCAGTTTCTCGCGCACAATGTCCAGCTATCCCACCAGCATCCGGCCATCCCAAGACGAGGTGAGAAACAGACAATTGACCCCTCGAAATCTCGAGATTGCCATTCGCAGTCTCTATCATGACGGACTGGTTGTAGTAGAAGACGCCATTCCGCACGATGCCCTCGACCATCTAAACGCCAAAATGGTCCAAGATGCACGCTCTCTTCAAAGCAAGAAGGAAAACAGTCCATACAACTACAACCCGGGTAATATCCAGCAAGATCCACCCCCGATACGAGAATACTCCGATACAAACATCTTCCTAAGTATGTACTCCGTACAGCACCCCACAGTGACACCATCTAACAGCATCAGACCCCATCGCCACACAAATCACCACGACTGCATTAGGCCCCCGGCCCAAATGGACATTTTGCTCGGGAAACTCAGCGATGCCACCGACCGAAGAACATCCCCCAATGTCGCAACCCGTGCATTCAGATGCCGATTTCGACCACCCGACGCACCCTTTCGCCTACGTGGTGAATATCCCGCTCATCACGATGACGCCCAAGAACGGCTCCACGGAGCTATGGCTAGGAACGCATAAGGATTCAGGACTGCATGTACAAGAAGGGATGCATGGCGAGCGAGCGAGCGGACGAATTAAAGCAGACTATTTAGAGAAGCAAAGGGCAATTCGCCCACCATGTCAACCAATAGTACCCAAAGGCTCGTTTGTTCTCCGCGATCTCCGACTTTGGCATGCCGGGATTGGAAACCAGACCGATGTGGTCCGGGTCATGCTGGCGATGAGTGAGTGTCTATGTGCCTAGATCCATTGCGGGGAATGTCATGCTAACGAAAAAGTCCACTTTGCCCCGTGGTACCGCAACCGGATGCGGTTGGAGCTGTCGGACAGCCTCCGGCCGGTCATTGAGGAGCAGAAGGATCTAGATATTCCGGTCACCTGGGTGAGTGAGGCGGAAGCCTTGTCGAGGTATCTGAATCGGGGATTTGGCAATGAGTATGATTTTAGCCAGAGTTGATTATGGTTGAATAAATCGATTCATTATGATACCCCATATCATGACCCCGTATCATGACCCCGTATCATGACCCCGTATTATGATCCCGTATCATACCCCGTATAACACTCCCTATAAAGCAGTTATGATATGAACATGCCAGTCACACCCCGCCTCCGCTTGGCTCGGATGCGGGGAAGTCGGGGATATTTTTAGCGAATTTATTGTCCTCCACGACTTCCTCTTCGATTCTGCTACAGACATATGGCCTGATCGCTTTATTTCTCGCTCACTGATTACTTCTCGACTACCTGCCCTCCAACCAGGAGTCTCGTCGATGCCGCTCAATCATAATCCCTGTTGTGTCCCCGCTGAGCTTTACGCTCCCCGGATTATATAGTGCCATGCGGATTGGCAGAGGATGTGAGCGTTGTCGGCATCGCCATATTCGATGCACCGTGCGAGCAGGCGCTTCGTCGTGTAATGCCTGTGCTCGGCTGGATCGGCCGTGTCGTCTAGATCCGCGGTTTCGCTTCAAGACGGTGCGCCATGTTTACCACAAAAGCCATGGGACGCCGTCGCGGTTCGAGTTGGCTTGGGATCCGGAGCAGGTCTGGGTGGATTATCCTCGGTCGTGTAGGTCCCTCACTCGGGTAGTCAAGTGCCTGGCTAATCAATACAGTGACGTTCATCCAAGAACCCGCCGACGAATCGTCAGAATGGAGTGCCGAGTCCCCAGAGCCACGACCGGCAGAGGAGCCGGTTCCGCTACTTCCGTCCAGTTTTCCAGAGCCGAGTTTGGAAATACTAGACTTGGCGCCAATAGACAACACAGGTCTCGTGACACCACCAATGGTGTCGGACGCCGGGCCAGCTGTCGTGTCGACCGCCATTTCACCTCCCTCTGTCAATGGAGTTGCATCGCCACTCGCCTCGACTAATTCCTGGGGAGGGACTTCATCATGGGAGTCGTATAGTCCGAGGCCGATCACTTCTGCCACCTTGTCGTCTAGAGAGGCGTATTTGATGCGGATATTCATTTCCAAGATTGCACCATGGGTAGGCCACTGCTAGGGTTGGAATAAACAAATGCTGACTATGTAGGCTGATATATGTGACCTGCAATCGCACTTCACGACCGAAGTCCCCCGGCGAGCCCTCCAGGTGCCCATGGTCCTCAAGGCTGTGTTGTCTCTAGCCGCACGACACGATGCGATCATGTCAGAGTCCAGCGACGTAGAAGCTTCCGAATACCACGGGCAATGTTTAGAACTGTTGATCGCAGTACTCGCTCAGTCAGAAGGATATGACGACAATCTCCTGATCACCGTAGTGATCCTGCGGTTCTACGAGGAACTGGAAAAAAGCATAGACGAAAAGTGCCACCTCTTAGGATCCAACCGGCTCCTCAACACCATGTCCAAATCCGCTTCATCAGGCGGCCTGGCTGAAGCAGTCAGCTGGCAGTTTCTGCGACAGGCCATCTATGCCTCGGTCGTGCAGTATCAACCGATGTCGCTGGACTTGGAGAACTACGAGCATTCAACCGTGTTCCAACGCAGTGACGACACAGCATATGCAAATGTGATCATCTTTCTCTGCGCTCGTGTCATCCAACTCTGTGCGCGAACAGACACAGAGGTCATGGATGAATCAGCCTGGCATCAGATCGCCCGTGGCGTGGAGCATTGGCACCGCGCAAGACCAATCTCATGGCAGCCACTGCGATATCAACCGGCTGATCCAGCGGAGAACCGCCCATTTCCAGAGCTCTGGATGATCTCGCCCCCAGCGGTAGTCGGACTGCAATACTACCACGCATCGTGCATATTCCTAACCTCGTCAGACGGACACTGGCAAACAATCAGCGACTACGGACTCGCGCGACTGCGTCGACAATCCGAGAAAACAATCGCATCGCATCTGATCAGGATAATCGGACTAGCACTGTCGAACGAAACAGTCGAAAATGCATTCTTCATGGCGTGCCATATGGTACATCGCTGTAAGTCCCTTCCCACATTAAATTGTATCCGACTAGTCTAATTGAACAGATGGATACTGTCTTCGGAACCCCGCCGAACAGCGCGGGTTGCTGAAGTTCCTGGCCCATGTGGAAAAACGCGTTGGATGGCGGACGGCATGGATGGTAGAGGAATTGGAGCAGCAGTGGCATGAATTGTCAACGTTGGATTCATGGTAGCATTCCTATAGAGTACTTCAATAGAGATGGAGTGACATATGTATATGTATTTTCCTTGATGTATAGATCAATCGAGCGGAGACAAACAATGCTGCCTGTGCCAAAAATAGACATCCGGGATGTTTAGCCGGCATCAACAAAGTCTAATAAAATTTGACAGAGACATGCATACTTTAGCAGTCAGGGCCCTCGAGACCCTTGGTCTTGTTTTATTTCTGTCAGTCTGACATTGACACTGACAGCTATAGCTCCATGCGATGACGCTTTTCATGCTGTTTCTGGCCGTGCTGGCTCTGGCCGTATGCCAGTGCGTCGTTGCCGATTCCTGTTCGTCCCGCACTGTCCAATGCAGACAAAATCAACGGAACTGACGTCGACAGGCCAAAACACAACGATCTCCTCCCCCTCTGACACATCCCTCTTCGTCTCGTGCGACAAAATAAAAGGCACACTTACCGTCTCCGAGTCCTTTAGCGGAGTCTTGAACCTCACCGAAATAAGTCAGATTCAAGGCGACTTGACCGTGACGAATGTCGGGGGGATAACGAAGATCAACCTACCGGCTCTTGAGAAGGTTGAGGGGACGGTTACAGTTACGGATAATGGAGCATTGAAGAATTTGACGCTTTCCGGGTTGCAGAGTGTCAGTGGGAGATTGACGGTGCAGGGGAATAGTGGATTGAGTTATGTGGCTCTACAGAATTTGGAGGATGTAGAGGGTGGTCTCGCCCTGGTCGGGGGATTCAGGTTTGTCTCTTTTCAGTTTATAACGAATGTATAGCTAACGGTGCAGTGTGTCCCTCCCCAACATCAACGAAGTCAACGGCGATACTACAATCCAAGGCGCCGACATGTCCTGTGGCGTCTTCGACCGACTGGCCGCAGATGGCACATTCACCGGCTCCTACTCATGCTCGGCATCAAGCTCAGGACTGAGTCCAGGTGCCAAAGCCGGTATCGCCATTGCAGTCATCCTAATCGTCTGCATCATCGCCGCTGGTATCTGGTTTTGCCTACGGCGCCGACGCGCAGCAGCCACCGTGAATGAAAACGGCGATGTCGAAAAAACACAGTACCAGATCTTGAACACGAAATCAATCCTCCGTCTCCCCCGTAAACCATTCCCCCCAAAACAACCCTCCGAGTCCGTCCCCATGCTGGACGGAAGAATGATCCTCGAAGCAACGCCCGGTGAACGACGCGATAGACGACCGATTTACGAATTAGATGCCGGACCACAGAGTTCGCATCAGCGGCCGATTAATCATGAATGACGAATAAATGAATATATGAATGTATGAATGCTATGTCATCGCTGTAAACAAACGCTATCATATGTACACAAATGTATATTCCACGCGTTACGAGTTATTCTTGCATGAGAAACTGTCACTGCTGGGGTTGTCGTGGATGGACTTGCCGGAGGTGTAGAGACCCAGTCCGCACTGTTTTTGTTAGCGATGAACGTATAGGGCGGATAAGGTAAACGTACAATGAGTCCAGCAATACCGACGCAACCGATGTTGATCGTAGTAAGAAGCATCTTCTTCCACGAGGCGGTGTATTCGCCGCGGTTCATGAACAGCCAGAAGAAGGCGGGCAATCCAAAACTAAACCAGCTTCCGAAAATCGAACTCTGCAGTCATGTTAGCTATGCATAAACAAAGAGGTCGAGGAAAACGCACGATCAAACTCAACAAGCTGTCAAACACCGGCACAGCCTCGGCAATAATCCACGCAATAACCCACATAACCAAGTTAATACCAATCCACGACCCCGTGGCGACAAAGTCCCGCTTGTGCATCCGGTCGGTTCCCGCAAAGATACGCAGGTAGATGTACTTGCATCCGACGTGGCAGAAGACGACACCGGCGATGATAATGGTCGGCAGGGCAATTCCGTAAGCGATCTTTTGCATGGTAGGATTGGTGGAGCCCAGGGCAGGCGAGGTGACGCCATCACCGGCGTAGTTGTAGGTCACGGCGGCGACGATGATGTAGATGATAATGTCAAGGACTTGCAGGAGGGAGAGGGCTTTGGTGAAATCGCGGGGGTCCTTCAATTCGGCCATGATACCGAAGTAGGCGACGTGACCGACTGTTCATGTTATGTTAGAGCATTCTTGCAGTGTTTAGAAGGTTCGTCTTACTGTAGGCGAAGATGATGTTGGTGACGGCGGAAAAGGCCGTGACCAGGTCAGACTGGACAACGGCCTTGATGGGCATGCCACCGGGATGTTGGATGCCGAGACTGATCATACAGATAATGACTGCAGCGGTGATACTGGTGAAGGAAGCCATGGACAACCACGATACATTGTTCAGAGTCCGCGGCAGGGAGCAGATCAAGGAGATGATCAGGCCGACCACACCAAAAACGATGGTGCAGGTACCGTGATCGGTCAGAACGTTAAAGGCGACGGAAAAGGTGACCAAGTGACTGGCCATGAAGAAGATGATGAAGAGCAGCTGGGCGATACCCAGGAACTCCCGGCCAAAGCGGCCCATGAGGACCTCTCCGGCATCCGCCATACTCGTGACGAACGGATATCTCAGCTTAAACTGCCCCATGAGGTAGCCGGTATATGTCGCAATGATACCGATTCCGACGAGGATAATCAACGATCTATGCCAATTAGCTTTGGTCTTCGCAGGGTAAGTGGGCTACTCACGGAACCAAACCGAGCGTAGCCACAGCAGCCGGCAGGGATAATACACCCAGCGAGATGGTCTCGGCAACCATGACTGCATATTGATTAGTTTTGTTCGAAAATCTGGGGAAATGCAGTACACACGTAGTCCACATTGCCTGTGGTCGGTTGGTCAGCATATACCATCCGGCGAAGGAATTTTTCATGGGCGACAGGGTACATACCACCACGCCAACACCTTGTATTTAACTTCAGCCTCCTCTTCATTTCCAAAGGCGTCCTGCGCCGAGGAATCGAAATGTTCTTTCAAGTCTTTTTCTTCATCTTGGTCGTGCCAAGGGGGGTATTCGGCCGGGGTAACGGGGTCGACGGACATGATGGTGCAATTGATGAATATGGGGTCACCACTCCACGGGGAAAGCCAGAATAAATAATAGAAACCGGCAGAGAAGAAGGATAGAATAGAGAAAAGAAGGAGAAAAGGCAGAAGACGCCATGTTTCACAACGGTTGGCGTCGGTCACGGTACGGTTCTTTGCAGTGGGACCGGGCCGGTGATGCTGATAAAGTTAAGATAAATGCGACTTTATTCCAGTATTATTCACGAGTTTGCCTCTGATAAGCCCGGAGAATGCTAGAAACGGCGCTTTCCATGGTGGGTGATAAGCCCTATTCTTACCGAGAAGGGCAAAATCTGCACTCCACATAACGGAGGTTGACCGAAAGTCGGAGATAGGACTGGTTGGCTACGCTTAATTTGCTTAATTCTGAGGCAGGAACGCCCCATCCCCGGACTGAATCAGTGGCGCTAGTGGTGACCGGTGCTCGACTCGAGTATCTTCCCCGAGCATTCTCCATCCGTTCTCATGCCTTGTTGCCTTGCGTCACGTGCCTCACGTGGGTGCACGTGCCAGTTGGCCTAGTCGGCCTCAGGCTCTCAGGCTCAGGCTTTTCGCCGGTCGGTCCCGTGACTTTTCCCCGGTTGCATCATCAAAACACCATTCTTAAGAGCGATCTTCTACTTCATACTCTGCTCTCATGGCTTCTTACATACAAAATGCCGAATTGGCTCCCCAATTCAAGAAGCTCTCCCTCTCCGTCGACGGCGTTGACCTATCCGTCGCCGTCGTGCACGCCCCTGGGGATCCCGAACTAGCACCCATAGTGTGTCTGCATGGCTTTGGTTCGACAAAGGAAGACTACTACGACTTCGCCCACCACTCCCCCTTTCAGAACCGTTCTTTCCTGGCCTACGATGCCCCAGGTTGCGGAGAGACCGAGTGCTCCGATCTCTCACGCATCTCGGTGCCTTTCCTAGTCCGCACCGCCGAAGCCGTTCTCGACCGCGTGGGAATCACCTTGTTCCACCTGATTGGCCATTCCATGGGTGGATTGACGGCGCTGTATCTCGCGCATAAGCATCCGGACCGCGTACGGAGCTTCGTGGATATCGAGGGTAACCTAGCACCGGAGGACTGCTTCCTCAGTCGACAGGTTGTCACGCACGACGATCCGCAGCTGCACCCCGAAAAATTCTTCCACGACTTTATCGACCGAACCCGGCGTTCCCCTGCGTTTTCGAATGCGTTGTATGCGTCGAGTCTGCGGCACAAGGTACGCCCCGGGGCGGTGCGGGGTATCTTTAGCTCCATGGTCAAATTGTCGGACGAGGAGGACCTGATGGGGATATTTCTGGGTCTACCGTTCCCGCGCATGGTCATGTATGGGGAATTGAACAACGGCTTGTCTTATTTGCCGCATCTGGAAGAGAACGGGGTAGAGCTGGCCGAGATCCCATACAGTGGGCACTTCCCCATGTACTCCAATCCCCCGGAGATGTATAGACGCATTGCGGAGTTTCTACCGGGGTGTTAGCCGGTATGATGTACTACTACTACTCCATAGATTAGACTGTATATAACCGATTCAGCCGTCGGGTAAATTCACCAATAAAAAAAGGCAACTCGGAGGAGATTGCCCCGATGATATCAGTTCCCAAAACAGTAACATTGTTTCTAGGGATTCCCAATCGGTGTTTTGTTTGGCGGGGTTAGTGGAATGATGCCATTATTCCCCGCCTATAAACCTCTCCTCTGTCTCTCCTCTTTTCTCCATCTTTCCTCGTAGTCTCCCATCCTGTTCACTACATAGTACATTTCTCTATCGCCATCATGTCCCTCGGAAGAAAGGTCACTCTCAACTCCGGCGCTGAGATCCCGTAAGTTCCTACCCCTATGCATCCATGGTACTATGCTAACGTCGCAGTCAACTGGGTTTCGGTACCTGGCAGTCCGCCCCTGGTCAGGTCGGCGAGGCTGTCTACCAGGCTCTCACGGCCGGCTACCGTCACCTGGATTTGGCTGTCGTCTACCAGAACCAGCGTGAAGTCGGCGAGGGCCTGAAGCGCGCTTTCAAGGATGTTCCTGGACTCAAGCGTGAAGACATCTTCATCGTGAGTAACCATACAGGCAGGATGAAAGGCAATGCTGACAACCCAGACCTCCAAACTCTGGAACAGCCAGCACCACCCCGACGACGTTGAAAAGGCTCTCGACGAGTGCCTTGCTGAGCTCGAACTTGACTACCTTGATGTGCGCACCTTCTGTCCTTGCGATTGTCGGATCAATACTAACAGTTGACGCAGCTCTACCTCATTCACTGGCCCGTGTCCTTCAAACGCGGCCCTGAGCTCTTCCCCCTCGCCGCCGAGAACGACTGCGCCATTGACAACGACATCTCCATCGTCGACACCTGGAAGGCCATGACCAAGCTTCCCAAGGAGAAAGCACGCTCTGTTGGTGTTTCCAACTTTTCCATTGACCACGTATGTTCCAGTCCTGTGAATAAAGAATCCAGCTAACAATGAGTAGCTCGAGGCCCTCGTCCAAGGCACCGGTGTCGTCCCCGCCGCCAACCAGATCGAACGTCACCCTCTCCTCCAGTCCAACGCTCTGATCAGGTACTGCGACCAAAAGAACATCCACATCACTGCCTATTCAGTAAGTTGGCAAATTATATCGCACCTGGGTAACGCGAGCTAACAACACAGGCCTTTGGCAACAACATGATCGGCGAACCCCTCCTCATCACCCGCGACGAAGTCAAGGAAGTCGCCGAAAGCGCCTCCAAGCGTCTAGGCAAGACCGTCTCTCCCTCGCAAGTCGTTCTAGCCTGGTCGCAGACCGGCGGCCACAGCGTCATCCCCAAGTCCGTCACGCCGCACCGCATCGTCGAGAACTTCCAGGAGATCGAGCTCACGCCCGAGGAGGTCGAGAAGGTCAGCAAGATTGGCGAAACCCCGCGGCGGTACAACACCCCGTACGCTGCCAACTCGCCGCGGTGGAACATTAATATCTTTGGCGAGGCCGAGGAGGGCCCGGCTACGTACAAGGTTAATGTGGGTGTGGGGGCATAAAGGCGTGCATAATGTACATAGCTAGTCATATGAATTCTACGATCCACAGTGCACGAATCAGTTTAGTCCAAGATCGTCGTCCCATTAATACGGAGCATTACGGAGTGCATAAAATTACTTTTAAGTTGCATCTGCACTGCACTTCGGGAATTGGTTCCATCTACTCCTTTTTACGGTTCGATATATATATATATATCCTTCATTTACACTTACTATCAACATCCTCAATCAATCAAGGACAACCGCCACCATGCAAACCCGCCAATGGACCCTGACCAACAAACCAACCGCCCTTCCAACCCTCTCCGGCCCCAACCCCACCTTCACCCTGAACACCATCACCCTCCCCACGCTACAACCAGGCCAAGTCCTCACCAAAACGCTCTACCTCTCCAACGATCCTGGAATGCGCCCATGGATCTCCGCAACCGCAGATCCCGCACGGCAATACCTCCCCCCAATCCATGAAGGCGATGCAATGCGCACCGCCGCCATCGTGCGGGTTATCGAATCTACCTCCTCGAAGCTCCCAGTAAACAGTCTAGTCTTCGCATTTACGGAATGGCGCGAGTTGAGTATCCGCGATGAAAGCGAGTGTCAGCCCCTCACTCCAATCCCGGGTCTAGATATCGCGCATTTCCTGGGCGCATTGGGGATGTCTGCTATCACGGCGTACTACGGGCTTAAGGAGATTGTCAAGGTGCAGCCTGGAGAGACGGTTGTTGTTTCTGCGGCTGCGGGTGCGACGGGGAGTATGGCGGTGCAGATTGCGAGGAAGTTGCTGGGTTGTCGGGTTATTGGTATTGCGGGGACAGATCAGAAATGTGACTGGGTTAGGGGTCTTGGTGCGGAGGAGTGTGTTAATTATCGGTCTAGGTCGTTTGAGGAGGATCTTGTTAGGGCGACGGAGGGTTATGTTGAGGTTTACTTTGGTATCTCTCCCCTGGATATGGGGTTCGATTTGAAGCATTGCTAACAGACATAAGACAACGTCGGCGGCACCATCCTCGATCTCATGCTTACCCGATTGAAACGCTTTGGACGGATTGCTTCTTGGTACCCCTCCGCTTGCCTGATACAGAAACGAGTACTAACACAAACAGCGGCACAATCTCAACCTACAACTCCACCAGCCAGATCTACAAGAACCTCTTCGTGAGCCCTCCCCATCACTCCAATTCGAAAAAAGGTTGGCTAACAAGTCAGGAAATCACCCAAAACCGCCTGAGCATGCACGGTTTCTTCGCCTACGATTACTTGCCTCATATTCCCGCGACGACGGAACTGCTCGTCCAGGCGTGGAAGGATGGGAAGATCATTCTGGACGATGAGATGCAGACTATTGTTGACGCGGGCTTCGAGGATGTCCCTGGTGTTTGGTTGCGGTTGTTTGAGGGGAATAACACTGGGAAGTTGTGTACTAAGATGGTTTAACCACACTTGAAGATATATATGTAGAGACAAAGGAATTATCATTATCTATTACCTGGGTATTAAGACCCTTGGTACTAGCTATAATCATAACATAGGGAAATCACATTACGGCTGGTCCATAAACAAATCCAACAACTTAGGATAGTTGGGAGTTCCCAAGCCAGTAACCGGGTCCCAGCCAGGAACCGCCTTGAAGGCAGTCACGCCGCAACCCGAGTTCTCCCCCTTGACAATATCGTTGAACACCTCAGGGTGCTCGTACAGCAGCGGGTTGACGAAGCCAACCGTCGACTTGCCCTTGGCCAACCGCTCCTCGTTAATACGGGTAAGGATGGCCGCGAACACCGGTGCAGCGGCAGAGGTACCACTGACCAGCGACGGCACACCACCCGAGAAAACAAGGACATTGTCAGCGACAGCCGCAACGTCAGGGTACGCACGGCCAATACGGTTGTAGATACCGCCGTTGTCACCGAAGGAGCTGTTGTCCACGGACTTGTAGGACTTGTGGCCAGGGTCGTACTTGGAGAAGTACTCCTCAACGGCCTTCTTCTGGTAGTCGGCGCGCTTGTAGATGTTACTGAAGCCACCGCCGGACGGGAACTTGGTCACTGCCTCCTCCTGGTCCTTCTTGGGGTCGGCGAAGGGGGGCAGGTAGGTACCACCGGTGGTAGTGAGGTAGGGGCAGGTAGCGGGGAAGTCCGGCGCGAAGACCTTGTCATCCTCACCCATGCAGTTGCTGGGTCTGGGGTCACCGCCGCGGCCTTCCACACCGGAGTCACCAGAGGCAACCACGACAGAGACACCCTGCATACCGAGCTTCATGAACTCGTTGCACTGGCGGCGCTGGTAGGAGATGGGCAGGGAGGCCTCGGTGCCACCGTAGGAGATGGAGATGACGTTAGTGGGCTTGTAAACACCGCACTGCAATTTGCCCTTGTAGCCGCCCTTGACGTCGTGGGGGTAGGGCGGGTCCAAGTGGGAGGTCTCCGAGCAGTAGGAGCCGTCGATGGCGTCGAGGAAGTTGTTCAGGAAGCCGTCGTAAGTGTAGTTCTTCTCGTAGACGAGGTCGTCGGTCTGGAACAGAATCGAGTTCTGCGGCCAGATGATGGGGTACGAGATCTGGAAGTCCAGGTTTGACTCGGCGCCGGCATCGAGCGAGCTGTTGGACGGGGCCTTGGCGCCGTCAACGGCCTTGAGCTCGGGGTGGGTGCCATCAGGAATGGTACTACCATCGTCAGCTTTAGATCAAGTCTTTGAATGGACAGGAACATACGGATAAACACTCGAGAAGAACAGGTCCAGGTCATCCTGGTTGTAGATGTCACCCAGATCCTCAAAGATACCGAGCTCGTTACCCTTGGTAGCCTTGTCACCCTTGGTCAGGTTGTACATGGCCTCAATACACGGCGGGGTGATGGCCACATCACAGAGACCCAGGAGGTTACCCAGGAGTTCCGCCAGAGGCAGGCCCAAGGTGCGCAGAATCGGGGGCAGGAGACCCTGAGGAGTGACAGTCGAGCGCTTCTGGACGCCGGATTCGTCGGTCTCATTGGCCCGCTTCACGTTGCTGACCTCCAGCAGGTTGACACCGGGCTTGATGAAGTCAATGTGGCGTTGCACATGCTTGGGGACGTGGTACCTGTACGCATGAGCAATTGAACTAAACTACAATGGGTAAGAAAGGACCTACTCGCGGCACGCAACATGATTCTTGCCAGTGTCCTGGTGCTCATAGACGTAGTACTTGGTCCGCAGCAAGGACTCCATCTCCTCCGCATCAGCATCAAACTGCAACCACTGCTTGTTCACGGACTGCGAGATGCGGTGTCCCGCAATACCCATGTTCTCCAACCAGTCGCGGACACTGTCCACGGTCTCCTTGGACGGAGCGAAGAGATCATGGATCTCCTCGGGGGTGTAAAACTGTCCGTATCGCGACGAACCGGGGTGCGAAACATCCATGAGGAGATCATGGCCGCGGTCCAGGTTAGACTGGGTCAGACCGATACGCATCGGCAGGCTGGCGGATCCGTCCAATCTTTTTTCCTCGCTCCACGAGGCAGGCAACGCATCCCGGCGTTCGTGAACAATATAATCGTGGGAAGAAGCAGGGGCGGCCAGCACGTGGGCGGCCATTGCGCCCAAAAGGAGAAGAGAAGACTTCATTTTGACAAGCTTACAAGTCCAGCTCGTACTCTCCTGGGAATTGACGAACGGAGCTGGAGAAGGAAAGCATCAGAGTCAGGATGCCTACCCCCATATATATACGGAGTGTGCATTAAAGTCCACCAAAACATGATGTGGAGGTCCAACTCAATCAACCGTAGTGATCATCGCGTCCCACTGACGATGGTTGAGGAGAAAGGAGCAAAGCCAACTCCGCAAAGTCTGTGGTCTAAGCACTGCCGATGCTTACTTTTCCGAGGTCGGGCCAACGATAAGATGAACAAAGCCTCCTCACACTGTGTCTATCGCTATCTCCTATCTCCCAGGGAGTAACAATCGACGGTCCCTGTCACCCCGTAAAGAGATGTTTCCGTACGAGTTGCTCATCCCACGTGAGAAACAACTTTCCGAATTGTCTTTGTCCATCCTCACTTCCTCTGCTCTGGCACAAGTACGTCGTGCGTCATGACGGATTCAGGCCGCGAGGGGTTTTATCATCGCGGCGATCCTGGCCAGAGTGGAAGAGACGGTTCCTTTACGATCCTTAGCGTGCTCCAGAGTCCCTGTGTCCATAGCATTCTGAACATCTCAACGCCTCAATTCCGGTTTCAACGGATCAATCCGACGAGCCGATGCAAGCAGTCGCACAATGCGGTGTGATAATTCCGGTTGCACGTATTAAATACGAACTGGCAGCATAATAAAGCTTGACGAAGCCTATCGTGGACCGCGTCTTCCGTATAAGATAGTTATCGCGCGTAGCATGCACTCCTACTGCGCGGTGGAATGACAGCGGGTCTGCCGTCCAGCATGCATGAATCGTAGAGGTATCCTGCGTTGGTTAACTCGCCCCTAAACTCAAGCACGAGGGAAACAAGGCAAAAGCTACCGTAAATCATCTCAACCCGGCAGCCAAGAAATTCAGGCTGTCCGAAAGGGGAATAGAAAGTAGAAACTATTGCCATTGCCGGCTTTTGGTACAGAGATCGACCGTCGTGCAAGATTCAGGGGGTGGACCGAGGAGGTTCTCGGATGCAGTCTCTTGTGATGATGCCGGGATTTTGTTTCTTAATTGTCTTTCGGAAATTATACCTGTTTCTGCTGTGTCATTGGCGGTATTCAAATGTATCTTGCTCTTCATCATATCGTGTCTTGTCGTATGGAGTAATCACTGGGTATCCCCTATTGATCGGCGAACCCGCTGTATAGACTCAACGCCGCCCGAAAAGGTAAATAACATTAAGCAAATTAGAGCCAAACCACCGCGACTGTGGCGAATAATTTCCTGCCGACGATTCACCGGAAAGCACAGTAATCCAAAAGGGCAAAAGAAGGAAAGAAAAGGTTAAAGTCCGGAGGCCAACAGAACACTCTGCCTATGCCCGGGCCAACATCAACAACAACAACAACAACAACAACAACAACAACAACAATCACGCAAGATCCTTCGAGGGTTCAAACATGAGGGCAACGCTGGGCGAGATAACGATCAACCTCTGCGCACGGGTACGACTTGTCGTTTCTCCAGATGTCCTTGGTCCGAATATCGCTCTTGAAGAGGAAAATCATGACGATTCCATTCAGTATCATACACATGTCTACACTCATTACTCGTACTCGTACAGCGATTCTTCCCCAATTGTTGAGCGTCCGTGTGAAGTTGATCCGGACGGTTCTGCTTACGCAAAGATCCAATGGTCAAGTCGCTTGGGTCTGGGCTATCATGGCTGAAGGAGCGATGACGATGCTCTCATCTGATTGACAGAGCTTGCTGGTACTGATCGAGGCCGTTAGTGTCGCCGATGGACGTTGTATAAGAAATAAGGGCAAACAGGGTGAAAAGGCGTCGAAATGCAGGGAACGTACCGTATCGTCGGGTGCCAGCAGGTTCATTGTGCTCGTAAGTCCCGGTCGTGAATGATCATGACAGGTTCCAGAGGGAGAGACAGACCGTATGCGTATTTCAATCTTGCGTCGGATTGGACATCATGGTTTTGTCGACGCATGCTATGCTCGATTCGGTTTGCCTGGAATCCACAAGTGAAACCTGAAAATGCGAGTCGGATGATAGTGTCTCAATGAAGTGAAAAACGAGACAGAGATGCCCAACATCTCTGCCATGAAACCCCATCAAACAATCCACTTCCAAAGCATCCTCAATAGCTGCTGCCGATGAATCGGTTTCGCCAAATAATCATTCATCCCCTTTGCCAAATACGTTTCCGCATCGCCCTTCAGCGCATTCCCCGTAAGCGCGATAATAGGAACATCGATATGAAACTCTCGAATCCGCGATGTCGCATCTAACCCGCTCAACACCGGCATATTAACATCCATCAAAACCACGTTATACGATAACGGACGCTGCTGGACCATTCGCACCGCCTGCGCACCGTCCCATGCGACGTCGACGCGCTCGAATCCCACGCTGTGCAGGAGCTTGCGCATCACCATTTGGTTCACCATGTTGTCTTCGACGAGGAGGATGTGTTTCTGGGGTGCGATCTTGCGGATTTCTTCGGTTGGGTCAAGGGTTTCTTCGGAGGCGAGGCCGGATGCTCGGGTTGAGTCCACCTCGTCCGTGCAATTCATTCGCGCTGCCACCCAGAAGACACTTCCGCGGCCGTCTGGATTTGGTCTGAATCCGACCGTTCCGTCCATCAGCTCGGCTAGACCTTTGCAAATCGAAAGACCCAGACCTGTCCCTTGATACTTCTTGGTGCAGGAGTCTGCGAATCGTGTGAATGGGGTGAAAAGGGTATTAATGGAATCAGCCGGCACCCCGATACCGGTATCAACAACTTCAGTCAAAATATCATAGGCATCTCGCTTTTCCTCGTTGACGGAAAACGACGTGTGAATCCTGACGCTGCCTTGCTCGGTAAATTTGACTGCATTCCCGACGAGATTCTGCAGCACCTGCCGGAACCGAAGCGGGTCGCCTTTGAGATACAGGGGGAAGTCGTCCGGAAGATGACTGGTCAATTCAACTCCCGGCTTGAGAAGGGGGTTGCAGTTTCGCACAACGGCGTCGATTATCGTTCGGACATTGACGATATCCGAGTGCAATGAAAAGGCCCCAGACGACAGTTTCGAATAATCCAAAACGTCGTTGATCACCTGCAGCAGAATGGATGTCGAATCTTCAATAATAGACGCATACTCCTGCTGCTGTTGGTTGAGCTCCGTGCTCGTCAACATGGTCAGAGCCAGCAGCATGCCGTTCATCGGGGTACGGATCTCGTGGCTCATATTGGCCAAAAAGTCACTCTTGAGTTTCGACGATTCTTCAAACGCAGCAATTAAACGGGCCTCGGCGGCCTTGCGCTCAGTCAGGTCCCGGGTGACTTTTGCGAAACCGACATGATGCCCGAATTGGTGGATAGGCGTCACGAGGACGTTGGCCCAGAATCGCGATCCGTCTCGACGATACCGCCAGCCTTCATCCTCCACCTTGCCATCGCGCAGACAAACCTCGAGCTCTTTTTCAGGCTTCTGTCGCAAACAATCCTCGTCGCTGTAGAAGATGGAGAAATGCTGGCCGATGATTTCATCCGCTGGATATCCATTCAACACGGCGGCCCCGGAGTTCCAAGTCGCAATGTTCCCGCGCGTGTCGAGCATGAAGATGGCGTAGTCTTTGACGGTGTCCAGCAACGTCCGATAGGTTTCATTAATGTGAGTCTGCTTGCTGCATGCGCGGGATTCTGCGTGTTCGTTGGTGACATTCTGAGTCTCGAGGACCATGTAGATCAGCTCCGGACCGTCGAAAATCGGTATCAATCGTAGAGAGAAGTAGGAGTTTGTATCGGGAAGATGGATGCCGTCAATCGTCTGGACGTCGCGGCTGGTGACGGCCGCTCGTAGGGCGCCGCTAAAGATCACAATGTCGGAGAAGACGACGCATGACGAGATATCGTATATACACTTGTCCAACAGCGCGTCTCTGCATTGATGGAAGAAAGCAAGATGGCTGTCGGATACCTCGATGATTTGTAGGGAAGCGTCGAGAAGAATGGTCGGAATGGGAGTTAAGCGGTAGATTCGAGTCATGGGATCATTGTGCCGGCGCGAACATTTGTGAGTGTGTGAGCTGTAGTCCTTTTTTCGTTCTCGATTCGCTTCTTCGTAATCGTCCTCTTCGTGCCGTTTCGAGAGATATAGATCCTCCTCCGGGGGCGGAGTCGCCATTGCGACGGTGACGGGTTCACGATTCGCGATGGTGAGTCGGAGGAGTTGATTATTAGGGACCATCGTGAACCGGGTCGTGGTATGTCGACAGTGTGATGGTTCAAATTCTATGCGTAAGTATTCGGAAGCAGCGACGCAAGTGGAAAAGTGAGGCGAGGATGAGTTCAATATTAGATATTATTAAAAGGTAAGAAAAAAAAAAAAAAAAAAAAAAAAGAAAAAGAAAAGAAAACACCGCACCAGTCCAGCTCAGCGCATTCAAGACCGCAAGTTGCAAGAATGACCACAACTTTTTGACTTCAGATCGACACCAGCCAGTGTTAGTAGACGGCAAAAAACACCGAGGCTGCGGGGGACGCGTGCACCGAAGATTCCAGGGATTTTCTAGTGCTTTTCAGCGTCTCAGGAGAAGTAGAACCATGGTAGACCGGGTGCGGAGGTGGTTGGTTATTAACAACCAGGGAATGGAAAGCACAGAATGGCGCGTCCTTTAAAGGAATATTAAGCTGTATTATAAGGGATATAGGGGAGGAATCTCGGTCATTAGACAGAGAAGCCGAATGGAAGCCGTGGAAGATGCATGAGACGGAGTGGGAACTGACGGAACCTGATACACCAGCGGTCGGAGGGAAATAAATGGAATCCAAAGAGAAAAAAGGTGTCGACGTAAGAATCCAATCATTCCCCACCGATCCTTAAACAAAAATGACGGTGCGGCCGGTATATGTACTCCAATCTTGCGGTCAGGTTGGACATTCTTCACGATCGGGACGATGTCATGCTGCATGGAAGCCTCGCACCTGTCTGACGGGGGTGGACGATCGGAATCCATGCTATTCGTCCAGTACCGACGGCCTCCCAGCAAACAAGCACAGAGAACCAGTGCAACAGAGACGGTGCGGTCACACGTACTCTGTACTCGGACTGGGATGCGGCTGGGATGCGACTGGGATGCGACTGGATTGGTCTGTAGCCGTCGTTAGTAGCGGCAAAAGCAGTAATAATCAGGATAATAACACACTAACTATGCGAGCTGTTAGCACACTGAGAACTGTCGATCTGGAATCCAAGAGGAAGGCCCTAGAAGCGATCGTCGGAGAGATCCGTTGGAGTCAAACAGGGGTAGTTCTACTGTGTACGGAGTACTCGCTTCAGGGATATGGAGTATTTGTTAGAGGGAGAATGTGGTATTGGTGTGTAGTTGTGTAGTCCGTAGTTGTGAAGTTGTGGTTGTGTGTGGTTGTGTGTGGTTGTGGTGATAAGAACACCGCCTGAGGCATCACATACTATACTTGAATCATTAAAGGAATATTATAGAATAAAATAGTATAGTAGAATATGGTATCGTAATCGTAATCGCTCATCCAAACTCCCGTAAACAAAAATCACAGAATTACATTCTCCCGTTCGGCCCTCTCAACCATCTTCGACAGAGCATCGGCCACTCCATACGAGAATGCATATCCACCACCACCAAATCCATACGCAGACAGAATAGTGCGCTGTCCGGCCTTTTCGCAGTCTAACCGGAAACCACCCTGTCTCGAGGGACGGATGCCAATGATGTGGCTGATGCTGTCTTCCGGAGGATTCTCTGGTACAATCTCGGGTGCCAGCATGTGAGCGCGGGAGATTTCGTCTTGGGCAATTGCCATGTCGACTTCAGGGGAGCTGATGAAACATTAGCTATGAAACACGGTCGGTTTAAGGAGACTCACAGATTATCCTGCTGCTTGACACCCCCAAGGACAACACCCTGGGACATAGGACGGGGAATGACATATGTATATTGCTTGCCATTCCGGAAATACATCATATGGCACTTGTCAGTCTTGTAGAAGACATTCTGGCCCCGTTCCGGAAAGCACTTGTCGTCCTTGACGTCGTCCAACTCTTTACTCCCAATGCCACTGGCGTTGATAAAGATGCTGGACTCGGGGAACATTTGGTACATGTCTTCCAGGGAGTTGACCTTCTTGCGGATGAACTGCCCTCCAAGTTCAGTGATTTGCTTTCCAAGATAGGGCATATGTAATGTTGGATCGGTGACGAGGGTATCGTAAGCCCAGCCGGTGTTAAAGTGCGAGGGGAATTCGTCTTTTTTGAGGTGACGGAACTGCATTCATTAGTATCTGAATATCCGACTATCCAAGGGCACGGGTCATACCTTCGACACAACATGCTGCCCCCATAACGAAGAGTTCTCCGGTGGAGCCTGCTCGAGGAACTCCCTTGTATCAACTATACAAACACCCGATGTCGGATCCTCCTGGGCCATCTTCAGCAGATGGCGATGGGTAACAGCCTGGAAGTATCGCTGCTCCGGATTGATACCCCCAGCGGCATGCCATGCTGCACCAGCCCAAGCAGAAGCATAAAAGATACTCTGGTCTCCTGGCAGATACTCCGCCACCAGAACCACCGGAAACCCGTTCAACAACAACTGCCGGGCAGTGGTACACCCGATGATACCAGCCCCAAGAATGACAATAGGGCGCTGGGCAAAGGGAAGAGAAGGAGTATGCTCGATATGCGATTCGCCCATGATGCACTTGATGACTGACTGGTCTGCAATGCTTGCTGGAAGCCGGGGAGAACTAGATTTATAACTCGATCAACGGGTCATCCAGAGCCAAACACGGATGTGGCCAACGGCTCAACCCGCTCTCCACCGATCTCTAACACGCGCACGGAAGAGTCAGGCATGAGGGCTGGACGATCTGGTACTCTCTAACAGCGGAAAATTCGTATTGGGGCCTGTTGTTGGATGTGGCTTGCTGTATACCTATGGACAATCTGTCGGAGAGAAGCGCCCAGGTCCGACGGTCGGCATGAGCCGCGACAGAGACAAGAGGAGTCGTCAGCTTGAATCGCTTGAAGCCGACTGTACAGAGGACTTATGTACATGTGTATGTGGGAGTGTCTGTACGGAGGAGTAGGGGGTATATGTACAGAATAAAGTGCCGAGGTATCGCATAGTAGTGTATAGTTGAGCAGCGAGTAGTGTATGTAGGAGAATGCAAACTCTTGCGGGGTTGTACTTTGTCAAGACTCCTTTTGCCTCAATCCTTCAAATTCATACACAGCACAACTCTCTACATCTATATACTAGCATACACTCGGATAGACACTGACATGCATAGACAAGGACACAGATAAATACACAGACACAAATACACATACGCATACAGACACTCAGATTATACAGACCGGCCCCAGCCGCCATGCCCAATGCCGACTCGCTGTCCGACAAAGGAAAAAAACACCAACACAGCATTCAGGTGGGTTCTCTTTCTCCTATTCTAGAAACATTCGCTTTGGGTCTAGTATACGAGCTGCCGCTGTCATGTCTGACTGACATGCAGCCTGGCCGGGCACCCATTGGATCGCACTGCTTGCTCACACTTGCCGAAACGATATAGGACCCTCCCTTCGAGACCGACTCCTCCGAAATCGAGATCCTAAGCGATGGCGACGCCCAGCGCATTCTCCCCTATGAAGCGAGCGACTCTCCGTTTCCCGAGGTGCGCGCCGTCGTGCAGCCTGTGGATAATGTGACACTGCCGGTGAACACCGTTCGCATGTGGACAATCGGTGTTATTTTTACCATTGTGCGCGCCCGTTACAATCGCAATCACAATCCTGTGGGACAATCGCTAATAGAAAACAGGTCGGAAGCGGTCTCAATCAGTTCTTCAGCCTGCGCCAACCCAGCGTCACCATCAGCGCGCTGGTCGCGCAACTCCTCGCCTTCCCCGTCGGCTGCGCATGGGCGAAATGGCTGCCCGTGGGCTGGTGGAATCCGGACCGCCATTTCAACATTAAAGAACATGCGCTAATCACAATCATGGCGAACGTGTCGTTCGGCTCGGCGGCCGCAACGCAGGTCATCGAGGCGATGGTCAAGTTCTACAATTTCCCGTCGCAGGGCGGGTTCGAGATCCTACTATGCATCACGACGCAGCTGTTTGGGTTTGGATTGGCGGGGATGGCAGCGCGGTGGCTCGTTAGTCCCGCGACGATGATCTGGCCGCAGGTGTTGTCTAATGCGGCGCTGCTGCAGACGCTGCATTCCAAGGCGAACACGCTAGCGGATGGGTGGCGTATTTCGCGGCTGCGGTTTTTCCTGATTGTCTTTGTCGTGGGAGGGGTGTGGTACTTTGCGCCGGGGTATCTGTTTACCGGGCTGAGCACGTTTAGCTTCATCTGCTGGATTGTTCCAAATAATGTGGTTGTGAACCAGCTGTTCGGCCAGCAGACTGGGCTGGGTATGTCCGTGGTGACATTCGACTGGGCGCAGGTGGTCTACGCGAACCAGAGCCCGCTCCTGGTACCCTTCTGGGCTGGACTGAACGTAATGGGCTCATTCGCGCTGTTCTTCTGGCTCATCTGCCCGATCCTCTACTACACCAACACGTGGTATTCCGCGTACTTACCCATGCTTAATTCGAATACGTTCGACAACACGGGCCAATCCTACAACACAAGCCGCGTGATGACCCCCTCGGGCACAATCGACCAAGAAGCATACAGAAACTACTCCCCCATGTTCCTCCCGGCAGGCTACGCACTAACCTACGGCGTGGCCTTCGCCAACCTAACCGGCATCTTCGTGCACATCGGTCTCTACCACGGCAAAGACCTGTGGGAACAATGGCAAGGCCGCAACAAGAAAGACATTCACGCGCGGCTGATCACCGCCTACCGCGACGTGCCGTGGTGGTGGTTCGTCGCGATCACAATCCTCATGTTCGTGCTGTCCATCGTGACAAACGAAGTCTGGCACACGGGTCTGCCAGCCTGGGCGGTCCTCATCGCTTTCGTCCTCCCAGTGCTCTACATTATTCCCGTGGGAATCATCAAAGCAGTCACAAACATCAGCAGTAACCAACTGAACCTCCTAACCGAGTTCATCGGCGGCTACGCATTCCTCGGCCGTCCGGTGGCAAACATGGCATTCAAGTTCTACGGCTACGTCGCCGTCTCACAGGGTCTAGAGTTCATGGCAGACATGAAACTAGGGCATTACCTACACATCGCCCCACGAACCGTCTTCCTAGCCCAAGGCCTGGCAACACTCATCGGCGCAATCGTCCAATGCGGCGTAACAGTCTTCATGATCACCCGCATCGACGGTGTCTGCACCTCCGACGCCTCGGGCGGATTTACCTGTCCGCACGGCCGAGTAACATACTCCTCCTCACTGATCTGGGGCGCTCTCGGCCCAGCGCGGAACTTCTCCCCTGGTCAGATCTATGGAAACTTACTATGGTTTTTCCTCGTTGGTCCGGTTGTTGTTGTTATCACGTGGTTTCTTGGACGGAAGTGGAAGAATGTCAACTACCTCTCGTGGCCTGTGGCGTTTGGAGCAATGAGTCTTGTTCCGCCGGCGACGGGGATTAGTTTTTCGAGTTGGTGGCTGATTAATGTTATTTTTAATGGGTGGGTGAAGATGAAGAGGCCGGCTTGGTGGGCTAAGTATAGTATGTCTCCCCTTCTCTACAATTGACTGTCCAGTCCGGTCCACTAACTCAATGCCCAACAGATTATGTATTGTCGGCAGCCCTTGACTCCGGCGTCGCCGTTGCAACAGTCATCATCTTCTTCTGCATTACGCTTCCCGCCGGCTCGCTGAGTTGGTGGGGAAACACCGTGTACAGCAACACAGCAGATGGAAAAGGCACGCCGTGGAAGGGATTACCTGAACAGGGGTTCTTTGGGCCGGAAGTTTGGTATTAACCGCTCTAATGGACGCATGTATAGTAATGTAAATACATAATCTGCCTTGATCCCCGAACCAAAAAAAAAAAAAAAAAAAAAAAAAAAAAACAGAACTAAGGAGGGTATCATAACTGCATGGTATATACATATAAAAGTACACCCATAATTTATAAAGTGTAGTACGTCGCCATCTCCTCCTGAAACCAATCATATGAATAAAACAACTGCTCTGCCAGCTGCGGATCAATCACGGTATTCCCTGTTCCATCAACCAGGAGTACATCATCCAGTACCGGTGCCAACGGGACCGTCGACGGCGGTGGTGCTAATGGCACGGTCAATCGTGGCGGCGGAGGCGTTGGTGCTGCTTGTAGTTGATACTGTTGTTGCTGCTGCATTGCCTGTTGTTGCTGGTGTTGTTGTACCTGCTGCTGTTGCTGATACGCAATCTGGCTAAAGATCATCGTGCTCTGGTGTCGAAACGTCTCCGCCAATCGGTCCACTCCAGGCCGTCGCTTGCCAAATTCCTCGAGCAGGACAATGACCGCTTGAATTGCGCGACGCATCATCTGCTCATCTGGCTGCCATAACGGCGGTTGACCTTGTCGGAACGCTCGCGAGTTCTGCTCGAGTCCCCACAGGATTGTAATTCCCGCAAAGTAGAGCTGGCTCAGCGTCAACCAGATCCATTTGATCTTGCCCACCGAGTAACTGTCCCAGTATGACCGGATCACTTGTATGCTCGAATCGCCGCAGCTGATGATACTCGTTGCGTCGGACGTGGGATTGCGCGGGCTGGGTCGATACATCAACAGCAGGGTCGTGTAGTATAGGTAGTCGTAGTAACTGGTTGAGTATAAAAGGGCCGGGGGATACACCGGTGCTTGCATCCGCCATTCATCCACCTCGTGACGGAAATGGCTCAGGGTCATGATAACTTCGTGCGTCGGTGGAGGGGGTTGATTGTTGTACACTACATTGTTAGAAGCATTCATCACAGACAGAGTAGGTGACTTACAATAGCGATAAATGCGCGAGAATATCCGTCGCAGTCGCACGACCTGCAGTGGAATCGTGGTCGAACTGGCCCCAGGAGCCTCCGTCCAGTCATCATTGAATTCGCGCGGAAGATCAACTGCAATGTCCTCGTCCGCGATACCCAACGGTCGACCCAGAGTGACTGCAATAAGACGATCGAGATTGTACAAACTCCAGAACGCCCGCTTTGACATCTCCTCTTCCGCCACATTAGCCGACGGACGCGCCTTGTGTAATCCCAAGCTCGTAGCCAAACGCATTGTGCTTCCCAACACATGCCAAACACTTGGTCCCGTGGTCGCAAACATGGTGTATAGCGCAAGACTCAACAACGCTCGCACAGCAGGTAGATCTTCGTTCTGCAACGCCAACGGCAGCGTTTCCTGGCTAGCGCGATAGAATTCGGCCGTCTGCGTGTCATCTGCAGACTTGATCAACAGCGCGATTGCGATCGTGATGTGATATGAGTAGTGGAACTCTGGCGACGGCGCCTCGCCGCTGTAGAGCCGTCGCAACTGTCCCAGAAACTCCAAGCGATGCAGAAACGGATACTGGTATCCCATGCTGTCAAAGTAGTTACCCGCCACCTTTTCCGCATCCTCCAATGAGGAAAGCTTCAGCACCCGCGGGGAGGACGCCAGAGGCCGCGCGACAGAAGGCCGTCGGTGCTCCAGTTGGTCGCGAAAGATCTCACCCACGTTGGGCAATCCCGTACCAAGCGACTCGGACACCGCAGGTCCTCCTGTCGACGACCCCCCGGCTGCACTGGGTGTATGTGCTGTGGACGGGCTCGACACGGACACCCCCGCGGTCGCAGGTCGCGTATCCCCCGTGGCCACCATGGCAGGCACCTGGTACCACCAGTCGGGATCACCCTCACCATCCACAGAGCTGCCGGTGGCTAGCTCCGCGGCGGTGATGCCCGTCTTCCGGCGCACAATATCCTCCAGCCATTGCACGCGTTTCTGCAAATTCTCTAGCTGATCGCGGGGCACGGATGCATTGGCAACCTGGGGACCGGGCGGGGGGATGGTGCAACGGACACCAGCCCGGGTACAGGCTGAGCAGTTCGGGTAACGGAAGTCGCATTTCTTCTTTCGTTTGCGACAGAAATCGCAGGCGGTTGAGACACGTTTGCTGCGGGCTACCGACGCGGCGGACACGGACGACGACAAGCTCTGGTGGTAGGAAATCGGAACATTGTGAGTAGTCGTGGTGGTATTCGCAGGAGGATCGGGGATGAGGCTGGTGCTGCCACGGACCAATTCGGGAAGCGGTTGTTGGTCAGCCAGCGGATGGGAGGACGGGGGAAGAGGAGGGTTGGTCGGACTGGCAGAGGGAGGAGGGGGAGGACGTGGAAGCGAACTAGCGATGTTGTCCAAGCGAAACTTGCCCAGCTGTTCGCGGAAGTCCTTGTCGTTGCCCGTCGTGCTGCTGGTCATCTTGCTGGTGGAGGAGGGCGGCTCCAACCGCAGTCCATTACGGAGTGCCGAGACAATAGAATAACCAAATAGGAAATCAAGAAATGTAATGTACAGAGTATTATAGGAGAAGACCTCGCGTAGAGAGAGTAATAATAGTGTAAGTGAGGTGAAGTCTGGAGTGTGCCTGGGAAGGTTCTCGGTTAGGCTTAGTGCGCGCCGATCGGCTCTTTCCTCTTTTGGGCCATTTGAGGTTATTCATTTTGATATACACACTCATGCTGAGACATTGACGGATGCAAACAGTCGGCTTTGTATTTGAGGAACAAGTGAAAATCTTATTAATAAAATTATCTGGGATACATTACAAGCTTATTTTTCAGGCCAAGACAATAGTGATTGCTCATAAGAGACAAGGGGACAATATAAAAGCGAAGCGTCGAGGATGAATTGCCATTGGGGACCATTGGCAGTGCAGAAAGGAGCTACTCAGTTGAATTATGTCTTTATTGCACGTGTTTGGACTTGCCCTGCCTGCCAAGGACCAATCCAAAATTACTGACGCTGGTGAGTGTGTCAGGATGCTCTGGTCCAAGCACTTTCTTTTTGTCTCTTAAGACTCGTCAGTGCATGGCTTCAGCCTCTTTATACTTGCCCTGCTGGTCAAGGATCAAACCAAGGTTGTTGATGCTGGTGAGTGTGTCTGGATGCTTTGGTCCAAGCAGCTTCTCTCGATGCTCAAGAACCATCTTATACATTGTTCAAACATTCCCCACACTTTCGCGCAAGATAAATCATCTCATCATCTGCTTTGTTATGGTTGACAGCTGCGAATTGTGCATGTGATATATACGTCCTCCACGTTGTCCGGTTGGTCTCATTGACATATGCTGCTGTTTGGACGATGGCCAGTGGAAGGTAGGTGAGCTTTTGAAGCAAAAAGTCGCCAATACGGAGCCATTGGTTTCAACCAGTGCTGGAATTGATCAGGCGTTTTTGCAACATCTGTGTGGCTCCTGCTTCGTCCATTTCCGGCACATAAACCACATTCTGATGAGCAAACAGCCTGACAGCCACCTTGCGATCGCGTGTTGTGAATATAATTGACCCTTGTGGGCTTCGGGGCAGATAATCAGTCAAGCACTTGGACCCGGATTCTGGGAAGAGTGGAGAGGTCCACAGATCTATCCATCCGATCTCGTATCATATTATATGAAGCCTTATAATCATCCGGCCGAATGCTTCTTTTGACGATGTCGAAAGGGGTCGTATCATATAGGTCTGGCCAATGCGTAACCGGGTTCTTGATGGAATCTGTAGATGGAGACGGTGGCGTCCACTTTCGATTTGAATCTTTTGAGGACAATATATCCCTTTGTTTAGTTAAAACATTTCGTGTCGGCAGAGAAGTTCGAGTTGAAATGTGTCTTTCAGAACCCTCTGTGGCGTTGCTTTCCTTCAAATGCCCTGGAACCCGACAATCCATTTTACGGATGTCCCCAATCCTGTCTTTCCACGATGTCAACCTCTCCGATGAGCTCTGCTTTGTATGAAGAGGACAATACATATTTGCCTCAAGAACCTGGAGAGCGCGGTCCAGACTGTCCTCATCCAGGTAGACTTCGGCCTTGGAGATTTCTTTGATTGTTTTTGTACGATTCTGAGTTTTTTGCCCTCCAATCTTCTTCTTGTAGCGTTGTTTCTCCCGTGTAGTTCCTATACACTGAGAGGTGAGTCGACCAAAGGAAAGTTCAATTTTCCTTTCGACTGACGTGCCATGCGAGGTCCAGTCGGGTCCAGAAGGGAAGAATGCCGTCCATTTATCCAGCCGAATCTGTTTTGCGTAACCGCGTCTGTGTTGAAAGCAATGCACAAGGTCGACCAGCTTCTCCAAGTCCGCTTGTAGCTGGGGAGATGACTGATGAAGCGCAATCATTGATTTGATGTGGATATCAATATTGTGTCTGTGATTTTTCGCTATGAGCCGTTTGCATGGCTTTTCATGCAATGTAAGACCCCCACAAATCCATCCGTCAATACCAAAGGAAACCTTCAAGACTGATGCTTCGAGCTGAGCTGTTTTATTTCTCGATTTTGTGCCCTCCAATGAGGCGGCCGCGGATGAGCCTTCTTTGCCAAAATTTCTCACAGCTACATGGGGTTTGGCATCAAGGTGCGGAGATGTTTATTATGCTCATTACTAGGATTATATCTTACACGTAAATAGATCACTCGTATGGAACCGTACAAAGACCTAACATCAGGTCATTTTGAATACAGTCTTGTACAACACATGGTCATTGCGGGAATACCATTATTCCAGTGGCTTTCCTAATCAACATTAGTGCTTTCTTGACATAGGGTTTGGGAGACAAAAGAAACAAGTCTTTGGGGTGACACTGCTTTTGCATCTGAGTGTAACCATTGCCTCAATTCCTATAGAAACTTAACAGTGCGTGCCGTACAGCACTTATAATGTGAAATGAAAATTACTAGCACGAAAACTAGCGGCGCTTTAGTGCAATGAAAGTGGGATTATTAAATGAATAAGAAGTGTTTGAAGCGGAAGCTGATTTCGCTAGACTCTGTAGAGGATCGCACATCTTCCCCCCCCCCCCGGACGGAACCGGGAGAAGAGAGGTAAAACTTCTGTCACAAAGAGGATGCTCGATAAACGAGATGCGTAGCTAGATGGCGAAGAAAATGCCTGTGGACAGAAAGCAATTTGGCGCCACATTTATGACTCGATGAAATGCGGACTTTGACCTTAAAACCCGGCATTGCCCAGCGTTTCGTAGAGGATATTCGTGGCTGGGTGGAAGAATGTGAAGAAGGCACTGCCTATTTATTAAGTGGTACAGTCTAGACAGAAGGGCATTGTTGCGTTGTCAATTTTCCCCAGGTTCTTTTCAGCAATGTTCGATAGTACAGTGGATCAAATCGAATTTCCAAGTTATGTTGTGGCAGAGCAGCTCCTCTAATAAATAGGCTTTAGAAGCGTAATTGAACCGCCACGGGAGGACAGGCTCCGGGGATATCTGGATTTGCCCAGCGTTCATGAGATGTTGATCATAGTGTTCTATTAACGGATCTCCGGCAGACATACTAGGCAGTGAGTCTGGCGGGAAGACATCTCCGAATATCATCCCCCTTATTGCTATTTAACCATCACAAAAGCAAGGCCAGTAACAACAGATGGGAAGTTCCCTGCTTGGTTTTATTTTGTGGCTTGCCTCAACTTTTCTGCCATTATGCGACCACTTCATGGCAAGCTGATTTCTGCGCTGTGACCAGTGGGCGTAGGGAAGGAATTCGTTTGAGCCGTCCCTCCTAGTTGACCTGAACGACCAGACATTGGCATGCCATGAGGTTGCTATGTTAGGAAAACACTGATAATCAACCTCGGGCAAAAGGCTTGGAATATTCTGGGGAGACCACTCAATCCGGGTAGACCCTGCAGTCTAAGAAGACCGGGTTGACCCTCATGTTTTCACCACTCATCAGTTTTATACTCTCGTTGACGATGTCTCATACGCTGTGTATCTGTCCCCGTTTATTATACTGTTATCATGGAATGCATTGTTGAATACGCACATTTGGTCGACTCCCAAACAACCGTTGCGTTTTATCATTCACTGGCATCGTGCCTCTCTACGAACAGTGTCTTTACACGCTATCTTTGCCCGCTAGGCCACGCGCCTCAGGAAAACCGTTTCTTTCCTCTGTAGCTTGGTGAAATCTCTGGGTAATTAACTAGATTGTGGCCTGAAGATTGGTTTGGCCATGTCAAAGATCGAACTATGGGACTGGAGAACAGTCTTGTAAATGAGGTCGTAAACGGAGACATAATGATAATGCGAGCCGAACGGTAAATATTCAATGAGAGCTGCGTCCCTACCGATTGCCCACCGTTCTTTCCAAGCCCTACAGCTCAAGGAACCCACTTCTCGTTCCCCCGGAGCTACATATATCATCCACTCCCGGGAGCTGTGAAGCTGTGAAGCTGTGATGCTGTGTTACACGGTTAAAGGACCCAAGCTTGACCCGCAGCAATGGATATGATCACTCGGCGTTGAAACCGCGATGAGCTGTTCGGTTGATTAGCATCCCCCGCCGCAACACGAAAATGATTCAAGCTTTCGGGCGAGGACCGAAGCTTGGAAGAGCGGGATTCCCGAAATTATGTCATGACCTTGAATAACTTAGTTCAATAGTAATGCCCGTCATAACAGACGGTGTCCATGGGATGTGCTTAGGAATCAATTAGCCCATGTTTTTACCTGTTGACCTGCGCAGGCATCAAGTTCTTCATCCTCGTCCACTCGTGATGGCAGCTATCACGCGCATATTGTCCTACGCGGTCAATAAACCCTATCGATCACAAGATATTCGCTACGAACCCCACCCTTACCTCAACGGAGATGGATATGTCGACTTCGCCCCCGGCGACATCGAGAACCCTCGCAACTGGTCGATGACTCGCCGTGTTGCCATCACCATAACTGCCATTTTACTCGTCGTGAATGCCACATTCGCCTCAAGCTCTCCCAGTGGCTGTTTTGGCTCCATCTCCGAACAGTTCGGCGTGTCGACCGAGGTAGCAGGTCTCACAATCACACTTTTCCTGCTCGGTTACTGCGCCGGTCCCCTCATCTTCGCTCCGCTCAGTGAGTTCTATGGCCGTCGGTGGATTTTTTACATCAGTTTCGCGCTTTATCTCGCGTTCAACTTCCTATGCGCTTTCGCACCCAATCTGGGTGCCCTGCTAGTGGGTAGGTTCCTCACAGGGACTTTTGTCTCCGCTCCTTTGAGCAACGCCCCAGGAGTCCTCGCGGATCTATGGGATCCGCTACAGCGCGCCAACGCCATGGCCGGCTTCGCGGCAATGGTGTACGTCGGACCAGCCCTTGGACCAGTTATCGCTGGCTTTCTCGAGCTGAAGGAGGATTGGCGGTGGAGCTTTTATGTGCTGCTCTGGCTTGGTGGAGTAACGGCTATCGTGATGTTGACCATCCCGGAGACATATGCACCGACAGTTTTGTACAACAAGGCGAAGCGAATTCGAATGGCAAAGATTCCTGGGTACGAGAATGTGAAAGCTCAAGCCGAGAACAGCGATCGGACGCTTGCTGGCATCTATAAGTTGGCGCTGACGCGGCCATGGATTATTCTTTTCGACCCGATTTCTCTACTATGCGCCATCTACATGGCAGTCGTCTATGCCTTGCTCTACATGCTTTTCAGCATCTATCCTATTGTGTTCCAAGAGAAGCGCGGGTGGAACTCGGGTGTGGGCGAGTTGCCTTTGATTGGCACCGTTGTCGGCGCGCTAATCGGTGGCCTTATTGTTTTGGTTGACACTCGGCTCCGCCAGCGACAGATTGAGAGGGGTGAGAAGAAAATGGAAGATACCGTTCCTGAGGATCGATTAACCCTAGCGATGATTGGCGGCATTGGCTTTCCCGCAACCATGTTCTGGTTTGCATGGTCGGCTGAATATAAGTGGGTAACTATTATGATTCCCGACTTGAGATAGTGCGAAGAGACTGACTTTCTCGAAGCTATGTCCACTGGATCGTTCCCACTCTCGCTGGGTGCTTTCTCTCGAGCTCCCTGCTTCTCATCTTTGTCGCATATTTGAACTACCTTGTGGATTGTTATCTGATGTACGCTGCCTCTGCCATTGCTGCAAACACCATTGCCCGCTCGGCCTGCGGCGCTGCTGCACCCCTTTTCACCAACCAGATGTTCTCCGCACTGGGTGTTGGAGGTGGAGGAAGTCTCATCGGTGGCGTAGCTGCCCTGCTAGTGTGCATTCCTTTCCTCTTCGACAAGTATGGAAAGCAGATCAGAATCCGAAGCCGATTTGCGCCGGCGCCGGATGCTCGCGTGCAAGGAAAATCGGATGAGGAGGCTGGTCCCCGGGATGAGGGTATCCGAGGTCCTGTGTCGCAATTCAATGAGAGTGATGAAGTAGAGAGAGGAGAAAAGAATTGAGGAAACCCAGGATTGAAGTAAATATGTTTTATGGAATACCGCTTGCCGCCACCTCAGTAACTACCACCAATAGATATTCAGGTTTCAGAAAATGAACAACAAAACTCCGCGTGTAATGGGGCTGGATGACTGTCGATTGCTCGTTATATACCAGTCATCGCAAAACTCAATCCTATTGTAATTCAGGGCAAAGTTTGTTCTTGTTATTTCTGATGAAACACAGGAGGCTATATAATGTGATTTATCGGAAATACAACTCGACAGAAACAAGTTAAGCCGTATTAGATTAGAGAGTTTCGAAATACATGTGGTCTAGGAGATTATCATTGTAAATGGACTAACTAGTGGAATTGACTTCGGTCCATGTATCTTAAATCTCCACCATCAAGCCTGCGTGCCGAAAATGTCCTTTTAGCACTCTCTTCTCTTGCTCCAACATGCGGAAACCGTGCAGTCGCGATATGAACTTGGAGCATGTTCGGGAGAATGGGGAGTATTTCCCTGTTAGGCCGGAAGACGTTCTCTATTTATGTCTAAGAAGTAGGTTATGTCGACATTAGCGTCACATCCATCTACATAGTATAAGTAAGATATAAGTGATGGTGTCTTCCCATAATTATTGAGAGACTGAAATGTATGTCACTATATAAACCTGAGTTTCTAGAACCACTGTGGTTTTCCTCCGCATGCTACGACTTTTAATAAGGGTGCCCAGGGCCTGGATCGGTATTTCAAATCACAGACCAGAATTTATTGAGCACTCACTGAACACTCAGTGCTGTTCAATGCATGCTTAGTGCATGCAGTACCGGCTGCAAGTGACAAGCGCCAGTTACAATGACAGCTTGTCAGCGATTTCGGCTTCCCATGTGCCCGAAATACCCTGCTATGAGCAAGAATCAGTACTTTGCTGTAATCTTGGTCCAGCTCGGAAGCGTTCTCACGACCAAGAACGATCTCGTGTACATCTCCATCTCCGCCTTTACCAGCAGCATCACAGCGGAAATCCGGGTTCCGAGGCCAAATCTGCTTGGTCATATACTGAGGCCAGATTTGTAAAAGCCCTAACCACTAGCAATGGATCGTCTGTGGAATGCCAGGCATGATAACATCATCGGATATCCATAAGTTCCTTAAGCCCAGCAAGGGAAAGTGGCTTCACCAGATAGTTGTTTACGCCTGCTTTCAGGGCCTCCGAGCGCATGGTAACAGAAGCAACACCCGTGACAGCCATGATGCAGGAGGGCTTGAGACTGTTGTCCTTTTCATGGCGGCGGATTTCGCTGGTGGCGACTAGGCCGTCCATTACAGGCATTGATATATCTAAATTCACAATCAGATATGTTCATGTGGAGTAAGCGCTTAGGAAAGAAGGTTCGGGGTTTACTTACCCATTAGGACGAAGTTGTATGTTATTTTCGACTGCTTGTACTTTTCCAGGGCGATCATCCCGTTGGAAGCTGTATCATAGTAGTAGCCGATTTTGCGCATGAACATGGTCATGATCTGCTCCGTTTCCCAGTCAGTCCAGGTTATCTAACAGGATAATGAACCACAACTAGATCTGGTCCTGTGTAACTAGTCAAGCAACGCAGTAACTTACCTTAAGATTAATGTCATTGTCATCCACAACGAGAACACGAATTTCCTTCTGTTTTTGTGGTTGGGCTAGCAAGCTATCGGGTTGCGGAAGTGGACATGTCACTTCAGTTGAAATCTCGGACGGTCTTTTTGAGGAGTCCGGGACGGCCTGCGAACCAATGTCTATCGGGGGCTGTCGAGAGCAGACGGACGGAACGGGAACCGACGCAGAATCACGAGTATCATGTTCGGACTGTGTCTTATAAAGCTCCAAGATCCTTTGGGCTGCATCATAAATCTTCTGGGGACCAAATCTTCCCTGGGAGTTAGTCAATGGATTCAGCAAAGAGGAAAGTCCAAACGTACGGCTGCGACAAGTGGATAATATTCGGGGGAAGACGGCCTGTCTGGCAGGGCGTCGGTCCAGTGAGGACAATGAAGAATTTGAAACCGTGCCTCAAACATAACTCACGCACAGACTGGTCGTCTATGGCCTTGAACTTCGTCTCTTCGATGACCGCAACATCACCATGCCCTGTCTCGAGGGACTCCGCCAACGAGACACGCCATCCTAGTTGTGTCATTAATATAACGGAAAAGGTACTATGGATGGAAAGCTTCCGTTTTGCTTCGGCTGGCAGAATTCCGGTGGGGACGTCCTTCACATCGGGATATCCGTTGAAATCAATCAAACATGCCCGAAGTGAGCTCCTCCCTGTTATGGAGGGAGGTACGGACGATCCGAACTTCTCAACACGCTGAACGGGAACGTAGACATTGACCTGTGTGCCAATACCCAATTCGCTCCTCACATTAACGCAACCACCAAGAGATGTCACAAGTTTGCGCACGATGCTAAGGCCCAGCCCCACGCCTTCAGACAGCGAATCCTCCTGAGAAAATGGAGAAAAGATCTCGTGCTTGAGGAAATCAGGCGCAATCCCACGGCCTGTATCCGTGATGGATAAGTGGACAAGCGCAGAATTGGGGTCCATCTGGTCTCTCGCCTGTGATAATGATACCTCGATAAATCCGGCCTTGGTCCATTTCAGAGAGTTGCCGAGCACGTTCGTCACTATTCTTCTCCATGCGCTGGTAACTGATCGAATAGCCCAGGGATGTGGTTGTTCGATGCGTATGACCACTGATAGTTGATCTCTATCCTTGGGGGCTTGGCTAGCATTAGATGTTCTGAGAGCTGGTCCACCTCCAAGAAAGCCAACTAGCTCGGGGGCATTGTGGCTATTGTACAACATCCCTACGGCTTCTTCAATTAGGGTATCCAGATTAAAGTCGGATATTAGGCTTGCTGCTTCACCATAGGATTGGACCCCGCTCAACTCCTTTGCAGTCGCCAAGCTGTTGGTTTTGCAGAAATCCAGCCTGAAAAAGATACATAGTCAGCAAATCGTTCTAAAAGATTAGCATTTTGGAAGCATACAGATGGTCTGTCGTGTCCAGTAAGGCCATTCCAGATGCATTAATCATCATAATCATGTCGTGCTGCGCAGACTGAAGAGGAGTTTTCTGCAACAATTCCACGCTCGCTAGTATACCATGCAGCGGGGAGCGGAGCTCATGACTGATGGAGGAAGTGAAATCGAATTTAGACTTCTCGGTGGCTGTCCAGTGTATCCGGGAGACCTCGGAAATGATGGAATCCCCAAACACCTTAAAGTAGTGCAATTCTTCCATGCCTAGGGGACGACGCTTGCCTCGTACCCAGACTAATGTCCCTGATAGCCACCGTGATTTATTCCAATCCCACAAGGGGAAGAAAAGCACAGTATTTGCTTCAGGAAGGTGACGGGCGAGCCGCTTGGATATGTCGTGAATGGTTTTCGACTCGGTTCGAGAACCATTTATACTTCCCTTTGCATTTATCAAATAGTCATTGGCTCCTGCCATATCGTCTAAATCAAATATATGCCCCATTGGGAAGGTTGTGACTAGTGTATGCAGCAATTCCTGCGTTATTTCGGGTTGAAGGTTCAAATTGGAATTCTCGGACGATGTTTTTAGTGCACAACCTAGAATGCCACAGATGCTTTCTGTCTCCTTTGAAGATGCACCTGACAGACCAAGAGGTTTAGGGCATGGAGCAGTGGGAAATCCTGGGTCTGCAGTTTTCGGCAAGGGCTCCCAGCCTTCGGAATCTTCGGGCAACATGCTGGGATACGGTTAGAAAAATAGAAAACTCAACGAATCAATGATACTGACAGTGAAGTGTCATTTTGATATGCGTCAAAAAAGGCCACGCCGTCTAGATCCATAGTGTCTCTAAGCAAGACGCTGGCGCGGGAGAATATCGTGGCGATCCGTTCAGAAATAGGAACAGAGTCCATCAGAGACAACCGCGAGAACTTATCCAGTGAGCCATCACTATTGGTGGAATCCTGTGCCCCTGAAACGTTGTCAGGCAGTACCTCCACACTGGGCTTCAATGAGGCCAGTTGTTCCGACGTTTCGAAATCAAGAGATGAAGACCCGGTGGTCTCGGAGCCTTGTATAGAAGAGAACAACGGCGATGGTTCATCAATGTGAGTTGTCAAGTATGAATTATTCGATTCTCGATGGTTACTCTGGGATTCTCCAACCAAAGATGCAACGAGCGATTCCTTCACATCACAACCTCCATCTGACGACTTCTGGTCCTGGTAACCTCGCATATTCCTAGACGAATCAAGCCTGCCGGAGCTGGAGGCCTCGATAGGGTCAAAGTCTGCATGACCTTTGACAAAATTAGTCAAGCCTATGACTAGACTTTCTGCGCGGCCATGATATTGGACCACCCGGACATTCTCAAGATGTTGCGCGATAGCATCCGCAACCTCCTGAAGAGCAGCGACCTCGTCATCACCAAAGTCAGCCCGTGGCTCATCGTCAACCACGCAGTACGAGCCTAGGACATATCCAGAAGGGCTATACAAGGGCACTTCGGCGTAGAAACGGAAATAAGGCCACTCAAGCACGTACGAGCGATCTTTGTAGAAATCTTCAAGGGTGAAATCGCGGATTATGTTGCGTGTCCGATTGGCCGTTATATTGCTCGTCGTTATTTCGCATGATGGATCTTGTCCGGTGAAAAGACGTATGGCATGAGGGCAAACACCCCATACCAGATCCAGGGTCCTGGCGCCTAGAAAGAGGCCATCGTTTGGCCGATGCTGATTTTGGTTCCGTAAAGAGACCGATGCAGTTGCTTCTGCGATAACATGCTGATACTCTCCATCTATTATCGAGACAAAAGACCGATTGCAACGAAAGCGATGGACGCCGAGCTGTGTCAGCGCTGTGAGCGTGATATCAGTGGCGAGATAGCTGGTCGGTGAATGTGCATCTTCACGGGACTCTTCTGGACTCGATTGCTGTTCGTTCTCTGAGTCCACATGCTGCGATACGGCTGGTTTACCGAAAGTACAATAATACCTATACTAGGGGACCTCCCCTGGGGGTCAGTGAGGCTCAATTGCGGGGACAAACTAGATGATATCCCACCTCGACAAATCCCGAATTCTCTCTCGCTCGG